GCAGGCCTGGCAGCAGGAAGGAGGCTACCAGGTAGGGCAAAGTGTACGGAGCAGACAGGGGTGGGAGAAAAGTGGCGTTTCACAAACAATGCTCGGCCTGACCCCTGTCGCTCAATTCACCCCAGGACGGAGCAGCAGCACTGAGGAAAAGCCTCAAAAAAACACAACCCACCGCATTCCACCAAAACAAACAAGCAAGGCCACCCAAATTTTTCAATTAGAGCCCAGGGAGGGGAGCAGGAAATGGATCAGTGGAGCCTTGCGCCCACCATCCCCCAGCCAAGCCGTGCTGACTTTGGGGAATAGGAGGGTTACACATGGGTAGGGCAGCACTGTTAGCATGGCTGTCGACACAAATGATGGAGGAGCTCAGTCACTACTTATTCCTGCAACATGGCACCTGCCTGCTGTCGACCTGTCAATCAGCTATTCTCATTCACTCTCATACAATTAATCAGGTGAACAAACACACAGAAAAGTAGTGTTTCCCTTAAAAAGGTCTACTCAAAGGAAGTATGTTATACCAATATGTGACAAAGAGTCAGGCCTATAGAGGCTTATGCTGTTCTCTTTGAAAACACTACACTAAATGAGGCTAAAGTGAGAGAGGTGTTTATATCACAACCGTGAGGTCTTTAGGTTTACTAATATCTTAGCTTTTGCACCTGCTAGAAAGAAGGAAGGAAAAGTCTAAATTTCAAGCAAAATGCCAGCTTCTAAAATGTAAAGACTCTTGCTCTTTCGTATAAATGACAGTAAACTGATTATCTTTGGGTTTGAGACTGTTGGTCAAATAAAAATAATGGATCTCCTTGAGTTATGGAAAATTAGAAGAGAAGCAATGCAAGGCTGCCTTTCTAAGGTCATACAAAATCATTTGATGTGAATTTATTTTTTTTTTTGTTCTTTCCCATCTGTATATTAAATGCTATCCAAGTATAATCAAGATATTAAGTCCAGTCCATGTTTTTATGGGCTTCTTCATAGGCAATCATTATGTCTGTGTTATAAGGGAGTTTCCTAATTTTAGTGGAATGGACTGTACAGTGTTTATAGAAGTTGGGAGAGAAATCATGCCACCTGGCAATGAATAACTATTGCAAGCTCTTTGATACATACAACAGCCCTTAACTGGCTTATGTTACAAATTATCACATTCACATTATTGCATTTGGTTCACTTGAAGTGAGAGTGAGATGTGGTTGGAGGACAACAGGACAAAAGGAAGGATGTTGTGTTAAATCTGGTGTATATGTAGTGAATCCTTTCAATGACAGTAAATGTCAACATAGGTTTGTGAGATTATGAGAAGTCATAACCTAGTTTTAGGGAAGTCAGCTTGCTGGGAAGAAAATTGTATTTTTTAATGTCTTGAACGTCGCAAAAATGTTAAAATGTTATGAATAATCTCTTTACGATTCACTACCTGATAAATAGGCTATATTTATTACAGTGCAACTGCAAAACAAAGCAGTTATAAAAACAAATTAACGTGCTGAATTTGTTACATCGTTAACGGCTAGTAGTAAGAACAATAAAATAAACAAGGCAATATGAGATTTAAATTGATAAATATTTCAATGGAGTTTGGTTCAGCTAATTGTTTTGTCGATAATAAAACGATAACATTAGCCACATCTATCAGCTGTTTCTACAAAATTCATCAACAACAGACTTGCTACAGAGACCCGGTACAACATACCAAAGGATTCTTTAATGATTCTAGCTTTGTTGACACATTTGACAGCTAACGTTAGCTTGTGCTATATGGTAAGCGCTAGCACGAAAATTTGTTGGACCGGAAGTGTTAGAAGAGGCTGTCGTTCGCGTTAGTCGTAAACTTACGAACGGCTTATATTTCTGCTTGTCATGCCACAGTTTCACTGACCCCTGCTTGAGCATTTCAAGGGAAAATTTCTTAGACCAAAGGCAAACTTACCGTTTACAGCAACTGGACTGCAAAGCCCGTTTCCTACATCCTCCGGATGCTTCCGGTTTGTCGCTTTCAGTCACATCTTTCAGAATAAAATTAAGTGGCATAACACAAAAGTTGCATATCCTGTGTTCCACCGACTGTTAAATCTCCGAGACCTGAAATTTTAAAAAGTGGGGTACGAATTATGGCATGATAACATATATATGTATT